AGAATAGAATAGAATAGAATAGAATAGAATAGAATAGAATAGAATAGGGAAAGAATAGGGAAAGAACAGGGAAAGAATAGAATAGAACAGAACAGAATTCTTTATTGGCCAAGTGATTGGACTCACAAGGAATTTGTCTTTGGTGCATATGTTCTCAGTGTACATAAAAGAAAAGATACATTCGTCAAGAGTCAAGAATCATCAGGTACAACACTTAATGATAGTCATAGGGTACAATAAGCAATCAAATCATACTAGGAAACAGCCAATATAAATTGTAAGGATACAAGTGACAAGCAAGAAGAACTAGTGGCAGGTGGACCAAGGCAGTCATAGAATGGATCCCACTTGATAAAAAGTGCCCATGAAAGAGACATAAAACAAGATGGATGGAGGACATTAGCAAGTATTGTGCGCCCAATTGGCAAAAGGAAGCTCAGGACCATATTGGTTGGAAATATGCGGAAGAGGCCTTCATTCGGATACACAATGGCTAAAATGATGATGGTGGGGGTGGCATATCATACATGGACTAGCAATATAAATTAACATTTCAACTAGACTACCCAATAAAATACAAATGTTAAAAAGATCCATATTCAAATATTAATGTCTAGGCCATCTAACCAATGAAGTATAGCATCATTTACATTACAAATAATCAGGTATTGGACTGGTATATGCCCTCAGCTTACAGCTGGTCACGATTCATACTAGAGTAGTATTAATCGTGCTTGTCAATGACCTGTGCTAGTGGCAGGATGGGTGAGGTGTTACTGTCCTCCCAGATCACCTATGGAAAATGGAAACTTGGGGCCAGGATTCTCTTTTTCAATGGGTGGTTCCAGTTGGTGTTAGTAGCAGGGAAGAGATCAAACCTTAGGCCTCTCACCTCTGCAGTGCTTCAGAATACAATGTCTTGCCCCCTCTGTTTAACGTCTATATCTACCATGAAGTGGTCCATCCGTTTTTGTTTGCTTGAAGGAGAGGGTGGAGAGATTTTCTATTTTCATGCAAAACTGAAGAGGAAGCATGACATCCCCAGCTATTGATCAACAGCTGAGAGTTCTTTTCATATTTTCATTCCCTTATTCCCAAGTTTTGAACGGCTCTCGAATCTCGTTAAGCTTTAAAATCATAACACTCAGGTGGTACCTAAAGCACTGAGCATAGTCTACACTCAATCAATCAATCAACCTTTATTGTCAGAGTACAACATGTGTACAATGAGGTTGGCTCCCTTCGTGCACCCCTCCCAACACAACTCACAGTGAAGACAGAAGTCGCTAACCCAGTGATTCCTACTAACAAATACACAATCTTATTGCACCATGTGAACTTGTTGCACAACAAGTCTGTTATACTACGTTGACATGAAGTTATTTTCCGTTCAGAAGTCTGACAGCCCACAGGTAGAAACTGTTTCTTCAGCCTGTTGGTGCGGCTGGCTATGCTTCTATATCTCCTACCCGATGGTAGGAGAGTGAAGAAGTGCTGACTAGGGTGAGAATTTTCCTCACTCTTCTAAGAGCCCTAGTGATGTCATCTGGTGGTATCAGGGAACAACCCCACAATGCTTTGTGCTGTGCTCACCTCACTGAATTTCATTGCAATTCTGAAATCAGAAACCTGAGGGCAGAATTGCTACTCAAAAGTAGCCAGTGTTGACATAATTCCCACAAGATTACAAATCAAATTTATCAAGATGGGAGATTGAGAGAAAATGAAGAGAGTCAAGAGTAGAAGATAATTGTTTAGCAGGAGTTAATTTACATTTGCCA